ATAGATCACAACAAATTGTGGCTAACTTTGAGGAGAATGGGAATCCCAGCACACTTGATTGTGCTTATGTGAAACCTATACTTAGACCAGGAAGAAGTCCTCAGAGACACTGCATGATTCAAAATCAGTAAAGGAGTGTGTAGTGATGCGTGTTTTCAATCTATATGCAGAACATATAATTTGGGAGGCAGGACATTATGAGGAGGAATACGGCATCAGAGAAAGACTCATCTACGACTTGCAATACGCAGATGAAACAACCTTGCTTGCTGAAAATGAGGAGGACCTGAAGAACTTGCTTCAGTTCTTGAATATTGATTGAAGCTCAACATCAAGAAGACAAAGATTTTCACCAAGGGGCCAATTGGCAACACCATGATAGATAGAGAAGCAATGGGGTTTTAAACAGTAACAAACTGCTTGGCTCCATGATCAACACACTTGGCATCAACAGTCAGAAAATCAGAAGAGAATTTCACTTGAAAAACCTGCTATCAGAGACCTCTCCAGAGTTTTGAGTATCAATGATATCAGTCTAGAGACTGAGGTGTGCCTGATCCAGGTGATGGTCATTGCAATTTGCTTTGCCTCAGAGAGCTGGACAACGACTAAGGATGGCAGAAGATGAAATGGTGCCTTTGACTTATGGTGCTGGAGAAGAGTCTTGAACACACCATGGACTGCTGAGAAAACAAATTGGTCTATCTTGGGGAGATGGAAACCAACTTTCTTCTTGGAGGTTAGGATTTCGAAGCTCTGTCTCACATAATTTGGACATGTGGCCAGGAGGGATTGGACCACGGAGGAGAACATCATGCTCAGAAGGGTGAAGGAACAGCACAAGAGAACAAGGCCCTGGCTGAGATGAATCAATACAGTAACTGGGGCAATAGAGGTAGAGTGTGTTAGGTTCACTGAGACTGGCTCAGAAAAAGGCAGGCTTTAAAGCTGCTGTACATAAGTTTCATGTAATTTGCAGGTGACTTAATGGCACATAGCAACAATAATTGTTTTGTATGGAAAAATATAATCTTTCGTTTTAAATATCTTTTGATTTAAATTATCATTTGAAAATATTCCATGAGCTCTGATGCCCTTAATGATAAGAAGTTGTGCTGCAATTTCAAACATGCTTAGTTTGAATCCACCAGCTGTTGTTCCACAGGACATGGATTGGTAATCTCCGCCAGTGCATTTATTACCTTCGGAAATGCACTGGAGGATCAGCTGTGGGTTATTTCTGACTCAATGACACAAAACAACAATAGATAGAGAAACAAGCTATATAATTAAAGTGGAAGAAGTAAACTTTCAACTGATGTTGACTCTAAGTAGGATAGCAGAATAATTTTTCCCAAGTTATTCTTGTTCAAAGCCTAGTAGATCTATTTTGAGGAGATTTACATCACCAAATCTTTTCATTTTGCTCCCTAAATATTTGTAGATTTAAGGATATTGTAATTCTTTGTTTCCATTTAATCTAAAAGTAAATCTCTTTTTTGAGTCAACCTAATGAATAACAAAGACCTCTTTTTTTATTTTGTACCTAATAGATACTAATGATAATCTTAAAGAGACACAAAAGATCTAATTAACATAAGTCTTTTATTGTTGTGCACTGTGAGTTGAGTTGCTGGGTAATCCAAGCATAAAAAAATATTTTATATTCATTTGCATACAAAAAAAAGAAATCAGTTCTTTTTCATAAACCTCAGAGATTTTGTTCTTGTCCTTATGTCTTGTCTTTGCCCTTCTTGGTGTGCAATAAAGATTCTACCAGTAAGGAGAATTTATTCTATATTATATAGATCAGCTGATTTTTTTTCAGTTAAGTAGCGATTAGACGACTTTTCATGATATTTTCTATTGTCCATACATTTATATATTTATGTGCCTTGGACTACTTTTGTTTCACACAAATGATAACCAAACACCTTATGTGAAACTTTGCCCAGTTGAACTATTTTCTTTCACCATTATTTTTTCAAGAACTCCCCTGATTTGTGCTTTAGTGCAATGTGTTATTATGTACCAATAACAGTTAGAACTGACTCAAAGCTGCCCTGTTAACAGATTTTCAGCTACAAATCTCATGTATGGAGACTGCCTATTATTCTCCCTCAGAGGAACTCCTTATCCTCTAGAACACAAGCACTCCCAACTGATTTTCAATTCATAATAAAATCAAGCTAATTCATCTGGGAACTAAATGGGTGTTTTTTTTTCCTTCTTGGTCAGCTGGACAATATAAATCTCTTATGATTCATAAATTAAGAAATAGCAATTGGTGCAACTGAGATAAATGACTTGTTCATATATGTACTTGGCAAGCCCTTTAGATATGTCATAGCCAAATTGTAGCTATAACTTTTCCTTGAATAATGCTTGACTTCATGGAAATGTATGCATGGATGAGTCTATGAGAACTCAGCATGTGATGAGAAACTTCCTCTGCAAAGCCGCTTAATATCTCTTGAACAGACACATTCTATTAAAGTTTAATAACATGGAAAAAGTTTTCATAATTAGGTATAGCAACATGACATAACTTACTCTAAACACCTAAAGTATATGTACCTCAACTATCTTGTTAGAGGTTTCTACATACAACTGTTGTTTTTGTTGATTGCTGTAAAGTAGAGCATGACTCATAGTGACCCTGTGAACAAAAGGCCTGAAGATTTTCTATAACTATCCTCATTTATCAAAGTGCATAGCGTTTCCAGAGGCATGTTTTTTAGGAAGTGAATACCACTCCTGCTTCAACAAGGTCATTTGTACCAAATCTGGATTTACTGAAAATTTTGCTTTTATTCTGGGGTCTGCTCTATGTTGTCATTCCTCTAAGAATGTAATAAATAAATCATAGCACTATCCCTAAGTATGACATGTGCTGATTTCTAAACTAAAAAATAACTACCAAAACTGTTGCTTCTTAGTTAGTGTTAGGTCGCTATGAGTCGCAGGCGACTTGATGGCACATAACAACAAAAACAACAACAACCTATCCCTTAACTCTAGACCAGGTGAATTGACACAGTGACTGTGGCATGGGCTTGAGTGTATCAGAGATTGTCAGGATGGCCCAAGATAGGACAGTGTTCAGATTGGTTGTTCATAGAGTCATACTCAACTTGACAGCACCTAACAGCAACAACAACTTAAGTAAATAAATCAAGGCATAAAAATGGATTTATTATATATAAATCAATGCAGGACATAGTTCTAGATGATAGAAATTCCAGAGAGGAAAAACTGAAATTAGATACTCTTTTACTGCAGATAATGAACTAAAAGTCTTAATGGACACTAGATCTAGGTAGTAGTAATCCTAGTGATGTTTCTGGAAATCTTTAAACACAAACTTTTTCATGTAGATTTTCTTCAGAGCCAACATAACTTCTTTGTTCCTAAGAGTGTATATCAGTGGATTCAGGACTGGGGTAACTGCACTATATATGATGGCAACCATTCGGTCCTGAGCCATGGAGGAGGATGAGGCAGGTCGAATATATGTGAAGCCCACAGGTCCATAGAAGAGACACACCACCATGAAATGGGAGGCACAAGTGGACAGAGCCTTATGGAGCACACTGCAGGACTGGTGTTTGAATAATAGGAAACCAATAATATAAAAGTAGGAGAGAAGGGTCAGGAAGAAAGCCCCCATAGATATACTGCCTGTGACAATGGAAATAAGCCATTGATTGAGTAATGTGTCATTGCAAGCTAGCTCCAAGAGAGGCTTTACATCACAGAAGAAGTGATTGACATTCTGAGAGTGGCAAAAGTTCAGGCGTGCAGTCATGACTGAATGCATCAGAGCATAAAAGAAGCTGATGAACCAGGCTACACTTGCCAGCAGGAGGCATATCTGGAAATTCATGATGACCATGTAGCGGAGTGGATAACAGATGGCCACAAACCGGTCAAAAGCCATGACAGCTAGTAAGATGGCCTCTGTACTTCCCAGGAAATGGAAGAAATGGAGCTGAGCAATGCAGCCTAGGAAGGATATGGCCTTCCGCGTGGAGAGGAGGTTTATGAGCACCTTGGGCAGTGTCACTGAAGAATAGCAAATATCCAGACAAGAAAGGTTTCCCAGGAAAAAATACATAGGGGAATGAAGTCTGGGCTCCAGAATAATAATTAATAATATTGTTCCATTTCCAATCAAATTTATCAGGTAAATGATAAGGAAAATCACAAAAAAGAAAGGCTGCAACTCCTGGACACTGGTCAGACCAAGTAGAAAAAATTCATTCACTGTAGTGACGTTCTCCATTACTTGAGGAAGCAATGACAATGATTTCATATTTCTGAAGCTGTAAGCTTACATTGTGGAGGTTAAGCTAAGCAAGTTTACTGTTTAGAGACACATAGGGATCAGTTGGTGGCACAATGATTAAGTATTCATCCGTTAACCAAAAAAGTTAGCATTTAAACACATAAAGAAGCTGTGACAGTCTATTTCTGTAAAGATTTTCAGCCTTGGAAACTTTACCTTCAGTGATATGAATTGATACAGTGATTGAATACAACAATAGGCTCAAAAATGAAATGGCACAGGAAATGGCACAGGATAGAGTTCAGATGTGTTTCTCATAGGGTCACTATAAATCTTACTCTACTTGATGGCATCTAACAACAACAACAATACATATAGCTACTATTAATCAAAATCTACTCGATGACAAAAAGATTGATTTTCTTTGCCTAGGAATGAGTTACAGAGTAAAGAATGATATGGTTAATATCACTCCATAACTTATCTGATCTTCATTCATTAGTGTTCAATGCATCAAATTTTTTTCTTGAGATAGTTTTAAGTTTAGGCAGGATACTTAAGATTGTATGTTGACTCTCATGGACTTGTTTTCATTTCTTCAGCTTCAGTTGGAACTCATATAAGAATAATCGACGATCTCTTCCACATTGTGTGGCATGGTCTCTAAGGAGTCATGATGCTAACCCAAACGTGGTGTCTCCCTGGCAGCTCAAAATACCAGTGACTCTCTAAGAAAAAGATGAACAATCTCCTCCAGTGCAATACACAGCCTTCTTCTGAAAACTCACCACAGTGTCAGAAATCAGTCAGTTCTGACTCAATGGCAGTAACTTTGAATATCATGCTTCCTGGTGAGAAACAATATGTCCTCCCTAATATCAGGGATGTCCACTTTCATCACTTTTATGCAACATAGCATTAGAAGTTCTAGGCACTATAATAAGGAAAAAATAAGAAATGAAAGGCAAATACATACAAAAAAAGAAATAAAATCTTTGTCATTGTCTCTATGTAAAAAAGTCTGAATAAAAACTTCTATATCTAATGAGTTCTTCAAGGTTATAAGACACAAGATAATAAAAATAATTACATTTTTACTTATTATTCTAGAACATATAAAGCCAAATTTAAAAACTCAATTCTATTTATAACCTCTTCAAAAATTAATTACTTTAATTCATTACTATATATATTACAACCCACGAATATAAAGTTTATGCTAGATATTTCAAAACATTAATCTTCATGAATTAAAACATTTAACAGAGTAAATATGCCATTCTCTGCAAACTAATGTACAAGCTTAACACATTTTATATAAAAACAAACTCCAGAATTTCCTTTTTACAAGATTATAAAATGTATATCATATAAGAAATAACTGGAGACAATTTTTAAAAAGAAATATAATTTGGGAGAAATAAATTTACATCATTTGAAAGTTTACTGTATACTTAGAGTAAACAAGATTATTGTGGTATTGGCAAAAGGGAAAACATTGATCAGTGGAACTAAAGAATTCATTAACAGATTTAAGCAAACATGCCCAACTGATATTTTACAAAGGTAGAAAAGCAACTCAATAGAGAAAGAATTTCCTTTTTCTGAAGCTGTAAGCTTATATTGTGGAGATTAAGCGAAGCAAGTTTACTGTTTAGAGACACAGAATTTATAGTCATAAATAAATATAGACCAATCTACCAGTTAACTTTGATCTAAACCTCTGACCTAAATAAAATGCACAAAATAAACTAAAAATAGATAAAAGATTTAAATGTATAACGAAAATCTATAAATCTTTAAATAAATAGAAGAAAATCTTCAGAATCTAGAGCTAGACAAAGAGTTTTATACTTGATATCAAAAGTATACCGACTTGAAGAAGCAAATAACAATTGAACCTCAGCATGAAAATATATTTGCTAAAAAAAAAATTCCTTGGTAAGAAAATGAAAAGATAAACTGAAGACTAGTTTAAAATAGTCATAAATTTAGTGTGAAACATAAGACTGTTGCTGTTCTGTGCCACCAAGTCAGAACTAATTCATAGCTGACCCTCCAGCAGGTTGAGAGAGGGGGTAAATTGCACGGGAAGAGACTGCTGATCCTCCTGTGGAGCAGGTAGTGGATTTGAACTGTTTGTAGGGCAGAATCTTACCACTTAGTTCACCAGAGCTCCTTGGGGAAAAGAGCTTGTCTTTAGAATATAAAAAGATCTCACACTCTCAACAGTAAAAAGTTTATTTAAAAATGGGCAAGTGAAATCAATAGCCTTTTCCTAGGAAAAAAAAGACATATAAATAGCAAATAAGCACATGAAAAGATGTTTGACTTCATTATTAATCATCCAAATACAAATCACAGCCATATAGAAATTATCTCACATTTATCATGAAGACTACAACAATCAGAAAAAAAAATAGATATACTATGGTGAAATCTACCAGTTGTTCAGTGGGAGTAAGATAGGAAGTCTCCTCCTGCGTGATTTACTGCATCTGAAGACCTGCTGGAGGGTCAACTATGGCTTGGTCATGACACCACGGCACACAACAACATGATGAAATAAAAACATGAGAACTGCTGTGAGCTAAAATTAACTCATGGTGGTGAATTTTTTGGGTTTTTTTTAGGCTTTTAATGTTTATGATTCTTTTGGAAGATGCATTTCTACTAATTTAATTAATGTTGCAGTTTTTAAATCTCATAATATGTCTTACCTACAAATATACTTAGGGAGTTCTGGTAGCCTAGTGTTAAAGAAGTTGTGTTGCCAACCCTATAGCCCACGATTTGAATCCACCAACTGCTCAGCGGGAGAAAGACGGACAGTCTCTTTCAGTGCCATTTACAGCCTCTGGAAACTCTCAATAGGGTTAGCTTTTGAGTTGGTTCAGACTTAGTGGTATATAACAAGAACAACACAAATAAACTTACACATGTGAAACATTATGAACCACAATATTTATAATTTTAACAGTAAAATACTATAAGGAATCTAAATACCAAAAGTATAAGACTAGATTGATTATTATACATATTAAGTGGTTTTAATATCAATCAAGTTATCTCTTTAATAACATCATAATGCATGCTTCATATAGACACACACACAAAAAAAATTATGGCACAAATTATATAGAATGAGGAAACAAATTGTTAATTAGCTAGATAGGTTAATAGGAATGATACGTAGATAGAAGATAAATAGATATAACAAAATTCAGCTGGTTTACTAAATTATAAAAGAAATATACAGTAAATTAGTATGCTAATTTCTGTTTAAAATCTTCTCTGGTGGCATATTACCTCTAAATGTGTATAGAAGAAACTGATAGCAGTGATCATCTCCAGGTAATTAAAGAGCCCAGCATAGAGATAAAAAGTAGAAGGAATAATACCCTTTAGGCATAATATCTTTTGGATTTTATACCATCTTTTTAAAAACATGCATAATGATATCATAAAAAAGACAAATATAGTGTCAGAACAGAGGATGAGAGCAAGTACATAAGTACTTTCCCTTTAGTTGCTTTTATGTCATTTCTTAATGTTGAGATTTAATGTCAAATATTATTTTTAAATATATGTGATATCTTTTATATAATAGAATTATATTATTTTCTATCTATAACGCAAAGGTTATAGATGTCATACTTGCTTTAAAGATCTAAAAAATCAAAAGGGATGATGAACAGTTCATCAAATTTAAGGCATGCAATCATTTATTTCTATATGCAGAGATTTACACATCTACATACTATACTAGATTAAGATCTTTGAAGATGAAAACCCTGCAGAATCTTAGCTTTCATTTCCAAATTGTTAAGCCATTTGAAAATACCATACCACAGTATAGAAGAAAAGAGTAATTAAACTGACCACTCCTGCTAATTCAAGTGTTTCCAAAAATGGCTTGAAGTAAGCAGTTTAAAATTATTGGTAGTAAATATGAGACACATTACAAGAAAATTATAATCCTACTATAGAAGGAAAAGTAATAGTTTTATCTTCAGTTAGTTTAGAACTTCTGACTTTACCATCATTGTGTGTTCAATTTTTTCTAAATATAAATTTAATATTGTCTGTGTAGCTTCAAAGACAGAGCTCTCTACCCTATTCTACACTCTGGTTATGGACTTGTTCATTTCGCTTTAAATTTGTGTGTTCATTTGAATGATTAATTGAATTATAAAATTAACATGTCTAAATTGACCTTCTCCTCTCTTCAAATGTGTTAACTCTCCAATATACCACAACTTAGTGAAACAGAACAAAAAACACTCAATTGTTCAAATTATAAATTTTAGCAATACTTTGGTTTCACCATCACTTCCATTTTTCATTTTTATAAGTCATCAAATCTTAATATCTCTTACATTTTTTTCAAATCTCTCTTCATCCACACCCAAAACCTTGATGCCATTCACAGAGTCACTCACATAGTTACCCTATGGTTACATTCTCCCTGCTCCTTAACCAGTATTCATAGTGTACCCAAATTGGTTGCTTAAATTTCTGTGTTACAATATAAAGTTTCTGTTTTAAGCACTATGATAACTTCACCTGGACATGTTTAAGCACTGTCTGGATTATGTCTAGTTTCTCTTCCTTGGTTCATCTCTGTTATACATTGGATCTGGTGGTCATAGCGAATATCTTATTTTATTCTCATTTCTTAATTCTCTCTTCATCCCTAATTTCTGCTCTTTAATGTCTTCTTCTTATTTTTTTAATCCATCATTAGCTCTTTTATCAATTTCTAGCCTTTTATTTGGTTTATTTGAAGTTTTTATTCCTTTTAAAACTGTCTGGATCATGTCTGCAGTTTCTCTTTCTTTAACATACAGATATACACCCAAAAAATAAAGTATATAGCATGTATGTACAATTAAAAATACACATTTAAGTGAATATTTTCAGAAAATTGTCAGCATCTTGGAAGCCAAATGTATAACCTTTCCTAATCCTTAAAATTGTGACATCTTCCAGGCTCC